GAAAAATTCAAAAACTTTTCTAAACCCTCCCTAAGGGATGCCTGCCAAACTCGGTGAATGCCTCACCCTGTCTCTCCCGGACTCGGCGTCTGTCTCACCCGCTTGCCGCCTGCCTCGGTGTCTGCACTAAGCGGTCTCTGCCTTACGTGTTGTCTGCCGCACCTGGGTTATGAAGAGACGGGACGTGAGTGCCGTGTCATACAGGGATCTGTCCTTGCAGAGACCAAGTCAGGCACAGACCGCATTCGTCAGTAACACAGTACATCAGAAACAGTACGAGAGGGACCGGTTGTGCAAGGCATCGGGTGGGGGATTTTTGAAAAAATTCAAAATTTTCAAAAAATCAAATGATGCTGCAAATTGTCCAAAAAGCGCACAAAACCAAAGAAATTTGTATAATTTCACATTAAATTTTTTTTTTCAAAATTTTCAAAAAAATTGGTTTTGTGCGCTTTTCAGACAATTTCTAGCGTTTTTTTATTTTTCGAAAATCTTGAAAAATTTCAGAAACTTTTCTAAACCCTCCTTAGGAGATGCCTGCGAAACTCGGTGAATGCCTCACCCTGTCTCTCCCGGACTCGGCGTCTGTCTCACCCGGTTGCTGCCTGCCTCGGTGTCTGCACTAACCGGCCTCTACAGGACTCGCTCTCTGCCGGTGAGGATCTCTGCCTTACGTGTTGTCTGCCGGACCTGGGTTACGAAGAGATGGCACGTCAGTGCCGTGTGACACAGAGACCCGTCCTTGCAGAGACCGAGTCAGGCACAGACCGCATTCGTCAGAGACACAGTACGAGGGGGACCGGTTGTGCCAGGCATCGGCTGGGGGAATGTTGAAAAATTTCAAAATTTTCAAAAAATCAAAAGATGCTGCAAATTGTCCAAAAAGCGCAGAAAACCAAAAAATTTGAAAAATTTCACATTAAATTTTTTTCGCAATTTTCAAAAATTTCTTATTTTGTGCGCATTTCAGACAATTTCAGTAACACTTCTAAACCCTCCCTAAGAGATGCCTGCCAAACTCTGTGAATGCCTCACCCGGTTGCTGCCTGCTTCGGTGTCTGCACTAAACGGCCTCTGCTGGACTCGGTCTCTGCCGGTGAGGGTCTCTGCCTTACTCTGTCATACAGAGACCGAGTCAGGCACAGACCGCATTCGTCAGAGGCACAGTACATCAGAAACAGTAGGAGAGGGACTGGTTGTGCAAGGCATCGGGTGGGGGAATTTTGAAAAATTTCCCAATTTTCAAAAAATCAAAAAATGCTGCACTGACATGCCGTCTCTGCGAAACGCAGGTGCGGCAGAGACCGAGTCCTGCAGAGGCCGGTTAGTGCAGACACCGAGGCAGGCAGCAACCGGGTGAGACAGAGGCCGAGTCTGGCAGAGACAAGGTGAGGCATTCACCGAGTGTGGCAGGCATCTCTTAGGGAGGGTTTAGTCAAAATGCTTATGCATAACACAGATTGTTTCAAACTTATTTGAACTTAAAATACGAGTGTGCTGTGATAAGGGAAATACGTTTAATGGGGAGGGGGGGGGCAAAATAGCTCTTATGTCTTTCTTTGTGGGGAGGGGGTGCACAGTAGAAATGCTATTTTTGGATATAATTTCAAAGCTAATATTTATTTTCTCTCAATGAAATTACAGGAAATTTAGAACTTAGGTTTAAATAACATGTCATCCTCATTTCAGCCCTCATTACTCTAATAATAAGAAACAGCTTTTGAATTGTTTTAACTCTTGGTGTGTTTTATAGAAAGCAGTGCCAGTACAATATACTGTTGCATATTGTAAGAAAGATGGTTCCTGTTCCTGTATCACTTCAGGCATGTGAACATAGAGTGGATATTAACAAAACTGAAGCAAATAATAAATAGACTATCAAACATTTCTACAATTAAAAAAAAAAATTCCATATAACTTTTGAGAAGCTTGCGAATCATATTATAACATTAGAAATACATCCCTGCTTCAAAAGATATAACATAACTACTGTATTGGTTACTAGTGGCTGTTACAATGTCGTAAGTTATACTCAATTTGCAAGTATCAACACAAAAATACCCATATATATAGCTTGATGGCTTCCTATCTGCACCTACTGGTCACCTTGCAACATCAGAGGTGGCAATGCACACTTCTTAAACAAACACAAGTAATCTGAGGGGTAAATTTTCATCAAATTTTCAGTCCTCATCTTGAGAGAGTGATATCTTGTGTTACACTCTCTCATATATACAGAAAACTATTTCTCTAGCTGCCATAGTGCCCAAACAAGTAGAACAAATTTTGTCTCTTAAATCTAATTTTCCTTGGTGCCATTCAACTAGCTGATGTATGTTTTTGCATATTATGATGCCTAACATGTCAGCTTTCAATAGTAATCAGTTCCTGACATCTACCAAGAAGTAAATGAAATCAAAACAGACAATGCAAAAAAAAAAATCCTGCACTCTTTCTGGCTAGTGCACCAGTCAGAGAAACAGAAAACCGCTGTTGAAGTTCAACAATAAGACAGTTACTGCAACTGTCACTAAGGAGTAACATATCTTTCAGAGTATTACAGTAACTGTTGAAATTATCTTCACAAATTTTTTGTATATTATACCCAAACACAGCTGAGGGAAATTTTCACTGATGCAAATGAGACCAACATGATATAATATAACCAACTTTCACCTGATTCTTCTCTCTGAAGTGCCTGCATTCATGCCACTTATAACTCAACTTTACACAGACAAAGTCATGAAAAAAGTAACTAGTGACGCTTGCGATCACTAGCAATCTTTGCAAGGAGCTTGTTGCCACAAAGGAAGGTTACGACTCCAATTCCTAATAAGTACTTGATTGTCTGGAACATGTTCAGCTGTAGCCAAAATATTCCAAACAGTATAAAGATGCCTGGAGAAAAAAAAAATCTTAGTACATTCTCAGAAAGAGCTAAGATTCAGAGCAAGAACACATAGCAAAGGTATTTCTGTCAGAGTGAAATGACGTGCACACAGTTTCTGAATATGCTGTGTAATTCTGTATACCACATCACTGTGTTCACCAATACCTGCCTATTGTACCCTATCCTGAGCCAGCTGAATGCAATCCAAATTTTCACACCTACTTCTCAAAAACAAATTTTAAAAATGCAAAGATCAAAAACAGATACCAGTACCTGCACTCAAACAAATAACAAGAGGAAGATTGTGGAAACTTTGGAAATTAACATACAGTATATAGCATTCATAATTTGCGAGTAAATAAGTTTATGCAAGGAAACCTTTGTAATTCCTCATGAAACCTTATGGGTCCTGCAGAACATAGTCCAGGGATCACTGTGTTAGGCAAACAGGAGAGCAACACATAACAGTCTGTGTTGTATGGAAAGAAACTTGCAAAATTTCAGGTTTTCACAATGATATATCTACCTACAAGTCCACATGGTGTTAGAAGCCAGCAGACCAAAACCGATATAAAATTTCATCTCTCACTTAGATAGAGGGTTTTCAGAGAGCAAAGTGCTGATGAAATACATAAAATCAAGAGAGAGATATAAATTAGAAAATCGAGAAAATTATATAAAATACTTCATCATTTTATACTTTCTCTCATAAGATAATTAACTCAATGAATACAAATTAGTGATGCCATGTGAAGAGACCACCCGGCCAAGGTCGATGGATTTTTTAAGGGTGATAAAAATCCGTGTAAAAGAACCTTACGAGCATGAATGAGATGTTTCGTAAACAAAATTCAGCGGCCATTTCTCACCCAAGTCTCTCCTGATTCACTACTAGATGGCCCTAGCAGACAAATCAGGATTGAGTAGAAATTGTGCAGAGGCAGTAGGCTTGTCATTCACCACTCATAAATGCACACTTCAAAGACAAAGAAACCTCCCACATGGGCGGAGACCAAGGCTTGACTTTGGGCTGATGCACCATAGAAGAAGTGAAGAGACCCACTTACATGGGATAACAACAGATCTTAGTGAAACTGGGTATGAAGGCAGACAGAATTCAAGTGACCTGGGATCAGGTAAAACAGTGAACTTTTGTGAACACATAAGACCCTGGTGTTCATAAAAGCAGGAACTTCTCAACTAGCTATCCACTTCTCTATAAAGAACCTGTACTATGTAATCAGTCATGTTAAATCACTAGCACATAATATAATGTAATGTATAATATGAAACCCCCACTGAGGTTACTCCACATAACTGTGAATTTGAAAATTAACCCTTTAAAGCCCAAAGGTAAGTATTTGTACCACCTGCTTCAACATCCAATAAGTCTTCATTTTGTATTTATGTGTTTCATGTGATACTCACTATAAACAGAGATTATTTCCTTAAACAACATTAAGCAGTTATGGTGAAGTGTTGTGTTCTCTTTGAAGTACAGACTGAATTCCTAAATATTATTTAGAAAAGTTTCAACATAAAAGGGCTAAAAAAGGCTTTAATGGAGGGAATTTAATACCGAGATTATTGACTTATGATTACTGCAACTGAACCTTCAAATAAAGTAAAACCTTTTGTCACAGAACAATACAATGTTTCTGTTTCTAGAAAACTTAATGAATGTGTATGCATTTAATATAACTTTTTTTGCCAGTAGTTTATATCAAATGTGTAAACAATTTCTCTTACCTCCTAGTCCTAGGTGAAATCCAAGAGCACTGATGGAAAGTGGAAAATTGGAGATATTAACTCCCAGCACGGCCCACTGAAAACAAGTTTTCTTTCTCATTACCTAAACACAACATATATGGAAGTGGTAAAGCATTACACCATGTACGTGCAGAAACAAAGCCCAATAGATTCATCAATACACTGTATGTGTAAATAAAATATAACATTAAATTGAACTGGACATAAGAAACACAGATAAATAAAATCTGATTTAAAGTAAAAATCTGTTATTCATTTATGGTTTCCTTAATGATGCTGTTACTAGAACAGACTACACACTGTAAAATTGAAAGATGATAGTGAATAATAAATTAAAAAGGATGTGGACAGAAGTGGTTGTGGCCTTATTTAAGGTACTATCCTGACATTTGCCTAGAGGGACTGAGAAAAAATATGAAAAACCATCATGATAGCCAGTCTCTGGGTCAAAAATTTGAAGCAGGAACGATACCACTTGATCAGGATATTCAATAGAATTGCACACGTTGTATGGAATATGTACAATCCTATGTTGGACAGAGTCCGCCATTTAAAAATCCGAGTTCCGGTCTGATGTCGGACAGAGTACACCACATTTTTATTAAGAAATTTATACATGATCTGGAGTCAGGTGATGCTGGCTAACAGTGTCAACATATCACTGAAGTCTTCATCTGTGCACTAGTGCTATCCAAGTTTTCCTTGTAATACTCTGTGACCCTTATAACAGTGAAAGGAGGCAGGAGAGAAACAGTTTTATTCTGACATGTGTGCAAAGAAGCCAGGATTCCACACCAAGTGTTTTGCCATATATCATATAGTGAAGGAATACCATTGGGTGTGTAGCTGTCATATTTACTTACAAGAGAAATAATTTATACCTTATAAAGTTATAAAACAATTATCCCATCTTCCTAGTAGGAAATTATATTTTTTTAATTATTTTTGATGCATAGAGCAATCCACCACTGATAAAAGCATATTCATTCGTCTTCTTATCAAACATTCTTTATGTGTAGTGACTTCATCGTTTACACTTTGCGTTCTTTTTCAAATTCATGGTGCTGAACTTGGTCTTGAACTTTCAAACACAATCAGTGCAAAAGGAAGCATAGCTCTACAATTATGAAATCCAATGCTTATACATCATATATTTGCACGTAATATAAGATGTTTAGACATCGCCAAAGTCATATCTATCGACTTGGTCTCGTTTTATTCTCTACCGAACGACAGCAAGCAGAAAGGCACCATTTACTGCCCATCTCACTAGTGACAGTGGTACAGTCCATGAAAAATATTTCACACAGTCAGTATCCAAACAAGAGGAACTGTGATCCTTTCAGAACATATTTTCACCAAATATAGCAAAGTTTCTTCAATTTTATGCAAGTTATAAAAAAAATCAAACCAGTTCATAACAGTAGTTGAATTTATACAGCTTAGTGGTATTTAAATAGACCAGGAAAGAGCCATAGTGGTATTTAAAAGGGACCGCAAAGGGTTAAAAGCATGTGCCATTAGCACAGTGCATTTAGAGTTTTGAAGGAGTAGACAGTACAGGCTTTAAAATGACTCATATAATTTGTAGTGCCTTGTGAACATGTCACCATACAAATTTAAAATTCAAAGTTATAATGATTCATTAGCTATCATCCTTGCACCAAAATAGTTTGTGCAGCTTCCACCTTATTTTCCATTCTCCTAATATTTTAATGAAAAATATTTTAAAGATCTATCATGATATAAGTCATCAGACTAATCAATGGCACTATCACTCCACTCGCCTTGTAAGTTTTCATGTTGGTACTGTAGATCACATAGTTTATAGGGAACTGACGGGAAATGATTCAGTGGTATAATATTCACACTAAGTTACATAAAAATGTCATCTAGTCTTTATAATATTGATGTCTGAACTAGATTCTGGGGACTGACAGACAGACTATTAATGTTCCTTCAGAACCCTACAACTTTAATAAAAATAATTAAATAACCATTTGTTTGAGACACTTACCAAAATAAATAGCAGGAGAAGAGGCACAAGAACCAGACCTGTGAACAAATTTGACACAACAGCTGGAGGACGCCGTTCTGGTTCTCGGAACAAGTGCTGCAATGAAACAAGTCCCTTATTCACCAGTAAACCAGACTGCAACTAGCTCCCACAAGCTTTCAATTAGCCACAAAGGTAACCAGTAATAGCCACAAATGTGACAGAAGTCAAAATATAAAAGTTCATCTTACCCTAGGTAGCAATGGACCTAAAAACAGCCTTTTTTGTTTGTTTCCCATTGGCCCAGACAGGGCTCCATCCTCACTACCTAGTGACTGACTCTGAATGGCCAGTCTTCTTGCTCTAATTGGTAACAAGTCTCTATTCTTCCTATACAGCAGAATATGTAATGATAATTCAAAAATACAAACCTTAATCTCAGGTTGTGGTGCATACAAATATTGGTCCTTTCCTGGACTTGGTGCTGGCACACTGTCAGAAAATTTCAGAATGACATCTGCAACTTTCCATGAAAAGGAATTGGAAAGTACAGCATCACCAACAATTAGCTCCATGGAGTACAATCCAGACAAGTGTCCAAATTCAGATGCTTTGCTTCCCACATCCTACAGAGACAACAGGAACTCTAATAAATTAAAACTTCAGTTACAAGAATATGACTTACTTACCAACCAACCTAAATGGTATAATATTATCACCTTCGTGAATTACCCTGATGTGCCAATTTCCATATCCATTAAAATCTCTTTGGTCAATCCATCTATTCACAGATCACACAACATTCTTTTCATCCCACAAACTACAATTCTTAACTCTTTGGGATACACTTCTCTTCCACCTTTCAGCATGCTTCAACTCTTTCTCATAGCCTGAAATTCTCTATCATCATTATTCTACATCTGATCTTGACCAGACCCACAGTACTAGTCATTACTATGTAATACTGGACACTTGCCTAGAACTAATTTCCTATCTATCAATGTTCGTTTTCTGGGCTGCAATGCCTTGTATACTTATAGGTAAATATAAACTATACTGTCTCTATTTTCAGGTTCAAAATGTTACCACCCTAAAGACCAACATCAACATCTTTACCACATAAGAACCTAAAACCTCACATAATACCATATCCCTATCACTTCTTTGAAACAAGGAAAGTAGGCTAAAAATTAATAAATAACATACTTACATATTCCCTGTACATTACTTACAATATCAAATTTGTACATTTTTGTGGAGTCATGTTCTGCAACAAAGATTATCTCCTGATTGGTATTTAGGTTCTGAAGTTTCACAAATGCCTGGTGAACAGTCATCAGTTTCCCTGTGCTCTTGTCCTTAAGGGAAAACTTCATAATCAACTTCTGAAGGGAATCTGCTTCCACTGAGACTGGAAGCTTATTTGGGTAAGCAACCCTGCACAAATGAAACAGTTTCAAATATGATTGCCACATGCAAGCCTAGCACACAGAGTAAAGTGATTTCCCTCAACTGTGCAAGAACAAGTTATGGTTTTAGACAAACCTGTCCATTTGCCAATATAAAACAAAATAATTCTAGACAAAGTTATAAAAGAAACCGTGTCCCCCCCTCCCCACCCATTAAATTACTGTTCTGTGTATGTTTCTGTTTGACTTAGTTCAGATATTTCACTGTTAAAAAACTGATGAAATATACCTAGGCAATAAGCCTTAAATTATATTTATTTATGGTAGATAAGAAAATGAAGGTCCATTTACTGAAACAATGTTTATATTCCTCTCTCACCCCCACCCTCATGCAGGTAACTAAGTAGAGCCTGTAATTTCATCACCTGCATCTTCATACTGAACTGAATCAGAATTAGCCATTATTTCAGACATTTTACCATCAATAATATTCCTACCTTTCTGTACACAAACTTTTCTAATTCTCTGAGCAAGGTTATTATCCATTTTGCAGAGGAATGGGCTGTCATTAGATGAACATACAAAAATCTGTAGCACGACTTCCTTAGGAGAGGAAGTAAAATCGGCAGTCCCATGCTGTAGATTTACAGCATGTAAACGAACCTTACAAGCATGAATGAGATGTTTCATAAGCAAAATTCAGCGGCCATTTCTCACCCATGTCGCTTGTGATTTGCTACTAGAGAGCTCTAGCAGACAAATCAGGAATGAGTAGAAATAGTGTGGAGGCAGCAGGCTTGTCACCTGCTACCCAAAGGAACTAAAAGACTAATAAGACAAGTTTCCTTGAGCAACTGTCTTGAACAGGCCAAGGGCCCAATCCTTGGTAGGAAGATGAAGATGAATATAAAAATTGGGTTAAGACAGCAACTCGTGTGTCAAAATTCATTTTCAAATTTTGACCTTGCTCATACAATACTACAATGAAGACAAACACATAAACAACAAATAAATCTGTCTGAGTCATATGCAAAGCAGCTGTACAAGAAACAGATGAATGTGATTTAACATCACTTCATTATAAAAAGGAGACATTCACAGATGACAGCTAAAGTTAGAAATCTTGACCTCTTAAGCAGTGAGAAGTTCTTATGAATAAAGCAGCTAGCTTTTTTGGTGGTTATTTTTAAGTTAGGATTGTAGGAAGTCCTCCAGCATCTGGCAAAATGGGACAAACAGTAGTAGCATAACTGTCAAACAAAGCATTAACTGACAGAAATATGAACACTCACTTAGCTAGTTTAGCTTGTGTGGTCTGATCAGCATCAACTGTCCCAACCTCCACATTCTCCACACCAATGGCACACATAACCTTCACAGTTAGAGATGCACCTACATTACCAACAAGTCTTGGATCTGGTTTGGCCAATGCAGCACTTACTGAGAGCTTGTATAAACCTCGTTCTGGTTTTGTCTCCATGATGTTCACAGAGTACACAGTCCTATAAACAAGATGATACTATTCAAAACAGTTTTACACTACTTCACCTATAATTGTTAATGCAAAAGCAATTGTAAAAATTGCATAGTCTTCTTCTTGTTATTTACATTTTATACAAAAGTATCCTAAATCTGAAAATTGGTAAAATATTTACGAAACAGATGGTGAAACAGAAGTTTATTATTTCAGATGATATATGATGGTAGTTCAATAGCAACCTGCTTGGAGTATGCCAGTCACAAGTACTGTATCATGCAATCTCACAATTTCAATTGTAAAACTGGGCATCAGCTAGTTGCATGACAAGCATCAAAGTAACTATTAATCAAAGTGGCATCTGGCAGTCTAGAAAATATAGTGTACCACATTCCACAACCATCCAAACAAGATCAGTGTGCTGTAATTCAGTTTTTAGGCACAGAGGGCTATCAACCAGTGGAAATTCATTGGTAGGTTCAGGCATTGCTTTGGTCTGAGTGAGCTAAATAGGTAATATGTAACAGATCCCAGACAAGTTTCTCATAAACCACCCTCACACATAATATGAAGTAACTTACCTGTCACCAGAAGTCGGCTCAAACTTCTTCTTGGAAAGAACTACAACTTCATCCCCAACCCTGGTGGCACTCTCTGCAGTCACAGTCAGTGGATCAGCACTCAGAGGTTTACCCAAGAGGTCACTGACACGCACCGAAACACGGGGCTGTTCCAGTGATACAGCTGCCTGGCTGGCAAGGGTGATGGCCACTGGCAGGTGAAACTGCAAGCCAAACAGTATACAGTCCCAAAAGAAAGCTTAAAACTATTCACTTACAAGTGTATGTGTATGTGTGTGTGAATATATATATATATATAAAACGTAACACATACTTTAAAAAATTCAGTCAACAAATGTAATTAACTAAAAAAACTGACAAAAGATGAAAAGAAACCTCAAAATATAAGCACCAGTTCTTGAGGGACACATATGAATGATTCAGAAAGGAAGTTTACAACACTCATGTCCCGGGGAAGCGACTCAGTGAATCTTTGATACGGATAATACATCACTAAGAGACAATAAACTAACTACTTTTGCACATAGTCTCTGTGAAAGCTCAGATACCTAGCGTACTGTATCCCATCCCATGTCTATATATGTCAGTCTCCTGTTCTTTCAACCATCACTTCAAGGCTGTTTCTATATCATCACTTTTAAATCTGTGGCTTCCCACATGCTCATCACTAAAAACAGATAAAACCAGCATCTGGGAGGAACAAACGGCAAACACCAAGCAATCAGCCATGAAACACAGGGTTGAAAGACCAATACACTGACTTCTATGAACACTGGATAAAAAACTCATCCTACAATACACAATATGGGATGTACCTCACCCTACAGAGAAACTAAGTAGAAATATAGTTTAAGACTTATACAATGGCATTTTATTATCAACATTATAGATTCAGTGAATCACTTCAAGATGCATGCCTTACAAGCTTACATAATGTTTCCAGTGCTCCACTTCACTTCATTAAATATGTAATATACTGAAAAATATCAATGTTAGTCTTCTGGGTTGTAATGCTGTGTGGGCTTGTGGGTAGATATCATGGCTGGTATCTACCTACAAGTTCACAAGGCGTTAAATCCAAAACACCGACATCAACATCTTCACCACCACTGAGAACATTAAATCTCATTTTTAAAAATGTTGTAAATAAAAGTTGAAGATCTTAATAAAACATATTTGATATCATGTACATATCTGCTGCATAATGACTTTTAGAAAACTCTGGCTCTAGTAACAATTCCTCTTTTGAATAACTGCAACAACTGTAATAAATTCTGCTGCATAAAACAGATAATACCTTGTTGTTTGTAAGTGTATTGACAACTTCCAATAGGCTGTAAGCTCCTTTGGCTGTCTGCACAGAACGGCGACTGAGAAAATAGTTAGCAAACTTCACAGCCTGATCACCAGTTATTGGTGGAGGCTTCTTCACTGTGTCAGCCAATTTGTATGCTCCACTCACTAGCAATGCTGCGAAATCAACATACCACTCCACTTAAAACTACAAACCAAAGAGTAAGCATCTAAAAACTTTAATTTATTTGCAGTTTAAGTTAGATAAATAACTAATGTTCTGTTATCCTGGAGTTGTTCTGCAGGAGGATTATAATTCTAATACAAGTGAAAGTCTTATGGAATTAACAGCATCAACTTTCAAATGTTTCTTCTAAATCTTAGGCTTAATAAAACAAAAACATATTTAAAGTCAGACAAGGAAAAGTGAACACCAACACAGGAAAATGTGATTTACATTTTCCTTTGTTTAAACAGACCCATTCTCTTAACCACATCAAGACTCTGGGAGTGAAGAAACTTGTCACTTTTAAATTTCACCATTCTCTTAACCACATCAAGACTCTGAGAGTGAAGAAACGTGTCACTTTTAAATTTCGTTTACACTTTTTCTGTTTAATTTAATTAAATAATAATTTGTAATGATGGCTAACAAGTCATCTTTCTATACAATGAACTATTAACAACTATCAAGGAATAATTTAACTGGAAACATAAAAGCTG